GCCTCAGCCCCTGCACGCGGCAGGGATCCTTGGCCAGTATGGAGCCCTGCCTCATTCACTGCCCCTTCCGGGGTGCACCTGCCTCGCTCACTGCTTGTAGAAATGCTCAAGACTCTTTCATCCTGGCTGGCCCCATTGAGGCCAGCTCCCAAGCCAGGCAGCAGAGACCACGCTGGAAAATCCCCGACCTCCGAGCCCCTGGCTGTGCCGAGGTCTGATCCAGCTCCACGGGGCAGGCAGGATCGGACACCCACTCCGCTACGCGGGGAGACAGGGGCTTTGCAGGGCAGGCACCTACCTGCAGGGGGTAGGCCACGGCATCCCCCTGGAAGGGCTGGCAGTCCGTAGAGCAGTAGATCATCACAAACCCCACAGATGCTGTCACCGCTCCCACCAGCATGGCCTCAATCACCTGGAGGCACGGGCGGTGGATGTACCTGCGGGGTCGAACACAAGCCACGTGAACAGGGAGCCCCCGCCAGGCTGTTCTCTGCTTCCCAGAAGCACCCCAGGGGTCAGCTGGTTCTTCAGACTGGATGCCACCACTGCTGGTGGGTTGGGGGCGGGGGAGCAGCTGGCGCAGGCCACCTCCTCCCGGGGTGAGAACCAGACAAGCAGCAGGATTTCATAGGCCGAAATGAAGGAGGAATCAGAGACGTCAAGTTGGGAGGGACCTTGAGTGATCATCTAGTCCAGCCAATCTAGACAGGTGTTTGCCTGCCTGTTCTTAGAAACTACCTGGGAGATGGTAGATTCCCCATCGCTGGTGGTTAGGTCCTGAGCTGACTGCGAAGAGTCCCAAAGTGATCTCACAAAGCTGGGTGACTGGGCAACTGAATGGCAGGTGAAATTCAATGCTGATAAATACAAAGTAACGCACATTGGAAAACAATCCCAACGACGCATAAGAGACGATAGGGTCTAACTCAGTTACCACTCAAGAGAGATCTGGGAGTGACTGTGGCTAGTTCTCTGAAAACATCCACTCAAGTGTGCAGCAGCTGTCCAAAAAGCTAACAGAAGGCTGGGAATCATTAGAAAACGGATAGATAAGACAGAAAATAGATTGTCTCTATAGATCCATGGTACACCCACATCATGAATACTGAGTGCAGATGTAGTGGCCTCATCTCCAGATCTATTAGAATTGGAAAAGGTTCAGAAGAGGGCGACAAAAATGATTAGGGGTTTGGAACAGGTTCCATAAGGAGAAGAAATTAAGAAGACTGGGACTTTTCAGCTTGGAAATGAGAGGATTAAAGGAGCACATGACAGAGGTCTGTAAAATCATGACCGGCGTGGAAAAAATAAAATCAGGAAGTTTTATTTACCCCTAACACAAGAACTAGGGGGTCAAGCAAATGAAATTATTAGGCAGCAGGTTTCAAAACAAAACTAAAGGAAGTATTTTTCCCCCCCATACAATGCACAGTCAACCTGTGGAACTCCCTGCCAGAGGATGTTGTGAAGACCAGGACTTTAACAGGTTCAAAAAAGAGCTAGATCAATCCATGGAGGTTAGGTCCATCAATGGCTAATTAGCCAGAATGGGCAGGGATAGTGCCCTTGGCCTCTGTCTGCCAGAACCCGGGAATGGACGACAGGGCATGGATCCCTTGATGATTCCCTGTTCTGGAGCACCTGGCATTGGCCACTGTCAGCAGACAGGACACTGGGCGAGATGGACCTTTGGGCTGACTCAGTGTAGCCGTTCTGATGTTCTCCCTTGGTCACCTGTCCCAGCGGTTAGCTACTCTTAGAGACCGTCACAATGGTTTCCGTAACTCCAAACCTGAATCCCCCTCGCTGCAGATCAAGCTAATTACTTCTTGTCCTACCTCGGCTGGGCAAAGAATAATTGATCACCACCCTCTTTATAACAGCCTTTCACATGTTTGAGGCCTTACCTGGCTCCCTCCTGACCCCTCTCCATCAGCTGTCTTCTTAAGACTAGACACGCCCACTATTCGTAACCTTTGCCCACAGCTCAGGTTTTCAAAAGCTTTGATCAGTTTTGTAGCTGATCATAAAAAGTAACCAACCCCCGTCTGCAGCTCTGTTCCTGGGGACACTTTGCCCCCGCAAAAGGCCATCTGAAACCTTCCCAGGACTCCACAAACCAGGAGCTGTGCAGAAATTGCCCTTTATATTTTTCACAGTCCTGCTGGCTTCTGTCTCCACAAACATGTTTGCAGGAAAATTGAAAACGGAATGTACCATCTGCTCTGAATCCCTCAACTCCCGTCTGTTCCATCTGCAAAAGCTATCAAGCACTCCCCGTCATGCAGGGGATGTTAGTCTTCTGAGCTATTGGCTCCTGAAAGACAAGCTCTGGTGGAAGAGAAGCCAGGTCCCAACGGGGAAGGGAAGCATTCCAACCCAGAAAGTTTAGCTATTTTCACTGATTTTTGAAACAGAGTGACTATGGGACCAGTTTTCAAAAGCACTTAAGTGATTCAGGAACACACTGGACCTGGGCTGCTGAAAATGAGGTTTGTTACTTTTAAAAACGATCCCCAATGCGTTTACATAGCATGTAACTCACGTATGGACGGTTAAGTTGGTTGGCTGGATGGTTAAGTAAATTGCATTGTCTGCAAAAGCACTGTCATGAAAACAAAGATATCCATCTTCCATCACCTTAACTCTGACCCACGGAATTGTTCTAAAGCCGTAGTGTCCAACACGCTAGCCACATGTGGCTATTTGGCCGGATGAGTATGGCTACTGAGCTCACAAAATTATTTACATTTTGAGAAGAATGTGGTTCATTTGCTATAGCAGTAGTGCTCAGAACCTAAATGTTTCTTCAACAAGGTACTGTAACACTTATCAGTGTGTGCCAATAAACTCAGCATGGCTCAATAGGTTACAGGCAGCCCCTGACTTGCGATGTGATTGGTTCCTGGGGAAGTGTCGCAAGTCGGGGGCGTCGTAACTCGAACTTTCATTGATAATAGGCGCCAGGCGCTGTCGTAAACGCAGGCCGAGGATGTAAGTCGGGGGGGTTCAGCCCCTTTTGCACTTACAAAAATAGTTGTAAGCACGTGGGGTCATAATTCAGGCGGGCGGAAGTCAGAGGCTTCCTGTATCCGTGGTTCAATAGGAAAGCATGCAACAATCACTGCATTTAGATATGCATTTAAGGTGGTCTAACGTACTGTCCTGGGAGCTTATAATGCAAGATTCCTTCCTCCGAAGGGCGTCTGTTTTACGAGACGACGGAAGAAATATTTACTCGGAGGCAGAGTTACAGCTGTGATGAAACCTGGGTTTCTGCGAGGGGTCGATTCTCGGGCACGACAAAGCGATGGCATCCGTAATGATCACTTCCGGTGGGAACACTGACGGGTTCTGTTTTACTTAGCACCTCGGGGGCTCTTACCTGATTCGGAACATGGTTAACCAGTAATTCAGGGCATTGAATATTGCGCCGAGAATTCCACCTGCAAGCAGGAAAGAGGGACACAGCTGAACCCTTTATGCCGTTCAGGGTTTTCCTACATGCAGAGTTAAATGACTCTTGCCCCGGTGTTTCTTTGGCAGTTTCTTGCCCTCGTCAGCCAAACGTTCTTACGAGCACCACGTTTTTAAGCTACCGCCAGCAGCAGCTTCCAGAGAACAGCAGCAATTTCTTACTGTAACGTTCAGCGCCAAGCCATGAAGGAGAGCAAGCTGAACCTCACAGAAGAAACTGCACAAGCTGCTGCCGCTATTTCTCCCCACGGCCATAAATCGCTGGTTTCTGGAGACGTCACAGCTGGAAGTCAGAGCTTAACTCTACTGCGTGGGAGGGGGAGAGACAAGGGAGAGCAAACGTGTTCCTGAGAGACACCCCCACGTACACACCCGGCCGCTGCCTTTACTTGGGGTTTTTTCCACTCAAGGAAAGCCAGCGCCTGAACCCCCTATTATTTCTACCTCCCGGAGGTCAGGGATCTGCACGATGCATCAAGGCCACACGAGGACCAGGAATTTTCACAGCGCTTCCGGCTGTTCAGAGGCCCCCCGGAGACGATAGTGACCTTTGCCAGCGTGGCAACACTGGGGCTGCGTCAGGGTTGCTGTGGTAACGGTAGTTCTCCTTGCCCTGACGAGGGCATTTCAAGGCTGACACACAATGGGGCAGCAGGAGCGTCTGTGGCCGAAAGGCTGACTGACAACTGAGGCCTCAATATTCCTGTTCCAAGCAGTGGGCAGAAAGTCAGCGATCCGGCCGCCACTCGGACCCGAGGGCCGCGCGAGAAGCAGGTCGCATCAGCACACTGGCTAGGCCCAGTCTGCTCCAAAGGGTAGGCTCGGACAGGTTACCTCTGAGGAAAACCAGGGGCAATTCCTCGCTGACTCCAGCCTGGCGTTTCCCTGCGCATCTGGTTAGTGTGTTCACTCCGGTGGTGGATTGTGAGCAGCCACCTGCTCGTACCAAGCACTGAGCCAGAGGGAGATGGATTTCTAGCTGCGGGTGTCTCCCAAGTTCAGCTCCAGACACCCTGCCCACCCATGCGTAGCAGGCGGGTAGCTTTGCCTAGGACCCTGCGTCTTTTTCCAGACTCTTGTCAGTCCACGGTTTGGCTCCCCATAACCGTGCCACGCGCTGCCACGCTGCAAACCCTACCCGGCAACAGGGAAGCGCAAAGTGAAGGGTTTTCTCCCTCTCCAGGGACGATCACGCTAGCGGTAGCCCTGGAAAGCATTAAGCAGCAGCAAGCTCCCTGGGGGTCCTTTGCCTGCGTGCGTTTTAATGGCTTTCCCATCCCCCCTCCCGCACGTGGGCGAAGGCAGGTTTCCGGCCGAGCGGAAGGGGATTATTCGGAGGCGCTAATTGAACGAGCAGACCCAGCTTACCGACGACGCCCATGAAGATGAAGATCGGAATCTCCTGGAAGGTGTAGCCCAGTTTCTGCGGACAAGGAGAAGAGGGTTTGGAGACCTTCCGGCACCGCAGGGCGCTCAGGGACAAGCCGCTGCCTGTGCGCGAGGCCTCCTACAGCCGGCAGCTGCCCAGAGCCACTCCTGGGGAGCACGGCTGCGGCAGGGCCCCTCGCTCCCGGGCCCCATGGCGCCTGCATAACCGGAGCCCGGCAGCAGCTGGGGCAACGCTTTCAGGCGAGGGGGCGCGCTGGAGGCTGCTGGGCAGGAAGTTCTGATCTGGGTGCATCTGGCCTTCGCAGAGCCCCCTGCCCAGCATGACACCCCGCCTGGGGCGCCTCATGCTGTCATACATCCCAGGGAAGGGCCTAATGGGAGCAAACAGCCCCCATCTGCTGCCCTGCTGGCCAGGCTGGGGAGGGTGCCCAGGACGGGGCGTGTGCCTGCCCCGCGATGGCCCGAACCCGGCAGCCAGGCCGGGCACCTCACCTCGCTGTCGAACCTGCCGAAGTTGATGAGCCCCGGGCTGGAGAGGTCCCAGGGGTTCCCGTGGTAAAAGCTCAGGATGGAGTTGAGCGTGAACGTCGAGATCATGGAGGCGAAGAACTGCGGAGAGAAGCAAGAGAGAAGCTGCCTCGGCGCCCTGGCCTCAGACCCCTCCGCGCCCTGCCCATCCGCCGGGGCCTCGCTCCGCCCCCTCACTCCCTGAAGAGTTCTTGCCGAGGGGGGCAGGATAATTCACCCCCCTGCCAGCGCTTGGGGCCCAAACCGGCAGGTGAGTCTCCCTGTGAGCTGCATAGGCAGGGCCGGGTCGCCACACGAGCACCTCCCTCTGTGGATTCTGGGCTGTTCCCTTTGCCTTGTCGCCCTCTTGCCAACCCTCAGCACAGGCCAGCGCGGGACCCCAAGCACGAAGCAGCAGCTTCTCTGGCAGGGGACCCAGCAACGCCCCCTTTCTGCGCCTCACACCCCAGGCGACGGGCACCCGCCAGGCCCCTCGCTCCCCAAGGCCTCCTGCCCCCTTCCTCCCCGGCCCAGCAGCCAGGCAGGCCTCCAGCTCCGTTTTTCACCTCAGGGGCCGACCACGCCTGACCCGCGGGTCCTTCCTGCCCCAGGCGGGGACACTTACGATTCTCCACGTCAGGAACTGATTCCAGAAGGAAGCGCCTTCCTCCAAGCTGAAGAGAACTCCGCCTGGGCAGACAAAGGCCAGGGGCCACGGTCACGGCTACCCCGCCCTGCCCAGGAGCCGCTGGGGCGAGGGAT